TTGTAATACTGAAATACTGTGGCATAACATAAAAGATCTGTTTTGACTATCTATTCTCAAATTACATATCAACGGGTATTGAAAAAGAGACATTTATGTATCATTTTATTACACATCCAAAAGAGAAAATTTGTAAAGGGAATACACATATGCTCAGAATGTTAGATGCTATTGTTAACTGATAAAGTCAATCTTCTTTAGAAAGACACGTTAAGTTTATAAGTTCTTATTGGTAATATTGTATTTATACACCTGTATCTCAGTATACAAAATATATTTTCTATTTCTTTTCTATTATGCGTCATAAAAGTGTATATCCTATTATGTCAGTTTAGCCTTTGATAATAAACTATATCAAAGAAGAACCTTTACAGCACATTTTGACAATTTGTTTCTTATATTACAGGTCAAATGGAAGTGAAGTGCCACAAGGCTCTGTCTTAGGTCCTCTGTTGTTTTTACCAGATTCAGAGAATCTGCTCATCAGCAGTAATCCATAATTTCTACACTGAACACCAGTTAGATTCCTGAACAGTTAAACTATTGCTACATGTAAAGCTCTTAATACTGCAGATCTTCAGTACTTTATCAGTCTTACTTCAATAACCCTGTAGTCCATAGCTCACTGAATTTACAAGATGATTTTTAACTATGAACTATAAAAATATAACTTTACCGTTATTTGTTTGCCTATTCTCACAAGCAAACCAAATGTCACAATCATGAGTTCAATCTATAAACAATAAAAAATAAGTATTTTTTTTATTATAGTTATTATTTATTTAGGTAATACTTTACATCACAGTTCTATGTTAACTTTAGTTAGTAACAATTAAATAACCATGAACAATATATTAAACTAAGTTTATTTTAATTTTTACATATACTAATATTTATAACACTTCACGGTAGTTAGTTATTATGTCAGTTAATTATGAACTAACAAATTAAGAATGAATAATAGCACATTTGTTAACTAACATGAATCTAAACTAATAAACTTTAACTTACTGGACCTTATTGTAAAGTTTTGCCTTTCTTTAACAATACTGTCATACAGCAATAAATAAAATACTACATACATGATTTATACCACAGAGGAATCAAAGACCGCAAGGCTTTGAATAAAGGTCTTGACTTAAATTGATTAAACCCTGTAACTTGAGATATCAGCCTTTTCCATCATGACTTGAGACTTGATACTAGCAATCTGAACCCATATCGAATCCAAATAGACGGACAAAAACAGTATAGGGGCTAAATTATATATGCCCGAAAATAGTTAAACATATGGGACATGTGTACCAGATTTGAATATATTTCTAACAATCAAAATACGTTGTTTTACAAAAGAGGTTTAAGGTTTTCACTTATGATAAATGCTCAGATGCTGAGATGTTCAAATGAGCAGGTTGTGAAGGGTAATCATGTTATTAAGATTCACAAGCCAAAATGAAAGTCAAAAATTAAGCCCACATCAAAACCTATAAAAGTCTATAAAATACTCTTTATTGCAGGCCAGGAGATGTATGCTACAAATCAGGTGACCCTGCTTCAAACCTCTTCAGAAAAAAGGCACTGTCCCATTCCAGTCAATAACAGCTCCCTCCCACTTGGTCCTAATGGTCATCTCTACAGATGGAAACTTTTTTTCTGGGTCTCCTTGAATGTCATTATTTTCAGCCTCCCAGTGATGGGAGTGTGTATCTAAAATACAAAAGAGCAATACAATAAATACATCTTAAATTTTTGGTTAACACAGGCAGGTGGCATCAATGAGCAAGATGCATGGGCAGCAGCTAATGACTGTACCTATGGTGAGCATTGTGTTGAGCTGAGTTGGATGGCCATTGTAGAAGTAAAGCTGGAAAAGATGCTCCATTTTCCAGTCAGAGAGCAATGAACGGTTTGGGCTGAATAAAACACTGTAGGTGCCATTGATGTTGCACACCCAGATAGGCAGCTTGGGTGTTTTCAGCATGCTGCCCACCTTAGGAGAAAAGTGTTCAACTCAACATGGATGCAACAAATATAATAGATTACATTGCAGTAATACAGGAACTAAGAA